ACTGGCAAATAATTTCAATTTTAATATCGTTGGACCGCAAAAGGGTTTCTCATTATTCTTACGTGAAGCACTACTTTATTTATAATATAGAAAGGCGTACGTAGAACGTACATGCAATCTAGAGAAGAAAGACTAAATTAGAGTTGTATTTACGCTTTTTGGTTTGTTAATTAAAATTGTTTATAATGTCCGCGCAACAATCACGACCTGAAGGGTACCGTATTAGTGCGCCGGATGGTACAGGTAGTCTTGGTGGTGCTGAAGCCACTATTAAACAATTACGATCGCAGAATGATCAGCTGTGGAAAATAATAGAGAAGCAAAAGACCATAATAACCAATCTACAAAAGGATAATCAAAAATTGGCCCATGAAAGAGATAAGCTTCTTATAAGAATTAGAGACATAGATACTTTTGAACGTTCTGAGGAGAATATTATTAAAGGTGGTAATGAAATCAAAGTAATCTCGGACAATGTTAATAATAATACATCGACTTCTGATGCCATTAGAATACGAACCAGCACACCACCACCACATACATCACGTCTATCGAAATCGTTTCCTCAAGTACAAAAACAACAGATAGAAACAGAGCTACTAACGCAAAACTCTCAATTACAACATCAAGATTCTGAAACTTTAATAATATCTGAAACTACTTCAAGTCTAAATGTGTCTAATGAATCGAATTCACGTAATCTTCCACCTGTTGTTGTTCATGAGCCTTCTCCTGAAAGATTAAACTTTGAGCATGAAAAGGATTCGGAACACCAACTTGATGAGACACCATCACGGAGTGATAGTAAATCTGCATCAAGCCAAAATGACATTGTTACCTTAAATTCAACTAATACGATCAATCCTCGGCAGTCTTTGCTAGATAATAATATTTTAGGTTCACCTATAGATATGCCAATCTCGCCTTCTCCTCTCAATTTGGACCAAAGTTCACAAAATTCTAGGCTACAACATACGCATTCATCTCATCAAAACCCACCTTCACCATCAATGTCAACTAAATCTTCAGAATCTGAAAGCTTAAGCAGCGGAAGTTGCAGTCGACATAGACGTCATAGCACAATACAAACTATCGATACTGAATTGGATATTTTAGAAGATACTGATGCTCATGTCCAGTTTCCTCAACCTCCTTCGAAAGATTCTTCTACAAAACCTTCAAACCAGCATATTAATATTCAAAGTTCAGAAGGTGATGAGATTTCTGACATTCCACAAGATTCATCTATTCAAAGTCTCAAAAAAGTTCCTGAGCCTTTAGGGTTAGCACCGCTAACACAAAAGTTAGGAACGCCTCAACGTTCTCCTGGTCTGCCATCCTCCCCCAAGGCTTACATGTATAGCAATGATGAACAGGCAGCTCAGAGAACAAGCAATGAAAGTGACGCAACTGCATCATCGAGAAATGTTATAATTAATCAAGATAATTTGAACTATAATAAATATTTGCAAAGTTTTGGACACAACCAAGTTGTAGATAGGTCACAACCAATTAGATCACATTCATTACCCACTAGTGATGATAAGACATCTCATGAAAAGTCTGAAGATGAAAGATCATGGAGAGATTCTCAAGCCAGTAATAATGAATCTTTGGATACTAGTTTAAAGGATAGATCACTTAGAGCAAGTAGATCGTTTAGTCATGTTCCCACAGGACCGCGATCCCGTATATCAATGATGCCGCCTCCTCACGGAGGATATCCAGAATTTCGAAATCCTAATCCCAATAATGTATCTTTACCTAACCAGGGGCAAATCGATAATCCCTCAGTAAATCTATCACAAGGACAACAGTGGCAATCTTTTCAGTCACATCCTCAACAAACTACTGCGTCTTCATCACAACAGTCACAATTATCACCACGTTCAGAAACTTCTACACCTTCGATCACTTCAGATGCCATATCTGGAATTGCTGTAAAAGTCGTTGGTAGTAATAAAAAAACCAATGACAAGGGAAAAGAAGTGTTGACATTCATTATTTCTGTTGGGCAGGCAAGAGTAGTTGATGGACGCATTGTTGGAATGGAAAAAGAACTGTGGAGGGTTGAGAAATTTTACTCGGATTTCTTATCGCTAGATGGAAAGGTATATTGTTATGATTTGAATTCATTTGTCTAGATTTATTGGTTTATTATATATAAATATATTCATTTATTTCAAAAAAGCTAAAGCAACGACATAGCAAGAACACAACCAAAATTGGTAAATTACCGGATAAACATTTATTCCATAACAATGCACCCAGCAAAGTTGACCAGCGGAAGGTTTGTTTGATATTATTACAAATATCTTATTTCCAAATTTGCTTGAAACCGAATAGTAATTGTTATTGTTTCTCAAAATGCTGTAGACCGCCCTTGAACAATACCTTCAACATATAATATCACTGCCTTTGAGAGATCACAAAGATTCCAACGATCTATGCAAATTTTTAAGCACAAACGTTATTGAACAGGACGATAAGGATTATCAGGTAGTTTATTTAGTTAAATTCCTAATATGTTGGTGGCTTCTACCATTATAATTAATGGAATAACGTTCAAAATTAGCAAACGGGCTATAAAGAAGGTTACCTTACTAAAAAAGGAAAGAGTTTTGGTGGATGGAAATCAAGATATTTTGTGTTGAAATCACCAGTTTTAGAATATTATGAAAGTGTGAGAACATAATCTATTTATTACGCATATTCTTAATTTGTATATTAGCTAGTATGTTTAGTATTAAGTTATCTTTTACCATTATATAGAAAGACGGGAGTCATCTTGGATCAATTCGTTTAACACACGCTCAAATTGGTCGGCAACAATCTTCGAATGATACAGATAAGGATAACGAAAATTCTTATCGACATGCATTCTTAATTTTGGAACCAAAACCTGGGTCAAAAACACAAAATACACGTCATGTATTATGTGCAGAGAGCGATGCAGAAAGGGATGAATGGGTAGAAGCTTTATTGCAATATGTCGGAGTTACCGAAGAAGAGGCACAGAGAAGACGACAAAAGAAAGAAAAGGAAAAACAAATAAAAGATACTAATAAAGCTGAAAGGAAAAAAGGTAATAATGATTCAATATCGAGTACAAGTACGATACGTAGTGAAATATCGCAAAATGACCAATGGAATGAATCGAAGAATGTACAGCCGACATTAGGTGTTTCAGTTAGTCAGATTCAAAAGCGTGCCAGCATGTTGGAGGAAATTGAACGTATAAGGAAATATAGTGGAACACCAGAACCTAGGGATGTTTCACCTTCATCTTCGCAAGTTGTTGCCGTTGTTAGCAGCAATAATTCATCTCTGGGGCAATCTAGTACTAGGCGTGACCGACCACATGACGATCAAATTGCTGAAAAAAGAAAAAATTCGCGCAAGACTTTCTTTGGCAGCATGTTTGGCAGCAAAGATGATAAAAAAAAATACAATGAAATACGACCTGATATCTCAAAAATAGTTTTCGGTATTCCTTTGGATCAAGCAATTGCAGTTGCGCGCATAAAAGAAGGGTACGAACTCCCTGCTGTCGTTTTTAGGTGTATAGAATATCTGGATGCGAATGATGCAGATAAAGAAGAAGGCATTTACCGCCTTAGTGGTGCTGCCATGACATTAAAACATTTAAAAGATAGATTCAATTCTGAAGGTGATGTCGACTTACTTAACCAAGGAGAGTATTATGATGTGCATGCTGTAGCCGGATTGTTGAAGCTTTACCTGAGAGAACTACCTACAAGTGTTCTAACCCGAGAATTACACATGGAATTTGTAAACGTTGTTGGTATGTTATTCATGATTTACGTTGTCTTGAGCCATAATTTTGATACTTCATCCTAACAACACCTTCTTTAGATCTTCTCGATCGACGAGATCGTATTAATGAACTTGGTCGTTTAGTTTCGTCTCTTCCTTTAGCCAACTATACATTGCTTCGGGCACTGACAGGTCACTTAATTAGAATTGTACAAAATTCTGATATTAATAAGATGACAGTACGTAATATTGGGATAGTTTTTTCTCCTACATTGGGTATCCCAGCCGGTGTTTTTAGCCTCTTCATGGCGGAGTTCGATTACATCTTCTTTACAGATAGTGATGGTGTTGCTGCTCCAAAAACTATAGAAGCAACACCAGAAAATCACGAAAAAGATTATTATCAACCTTCAACAAATGATTTTTCATCCGAATCCACCTCAGATAATCAACAATTGACAAATGTTAGTCCGAATGAAGATACAAGTTCACCTACTGCTTTGTCACCTAAAACTGCTTTACGAAAACGTGATATACGTGAAGAAATTACGGGCAGAAGCAATCGAAATAGTGTTCATTATATGGATAGTGCTCCTGAAGTTGTGGTCGGGTTAGAACGGAGGTTGACAGGTGTGTTATTTTATATATACATTGATAGTTTTATGATTTTATGTTAGAAGTCTAACTTTACTATTTATATAATTAAGTAACTAAATCAAGCCTTCGCCGAAACGAGCGGAATGATGATTCATCAGAGGAAGAAGTTAATGATCTCGCTCTTCAGGTTGAGGATGTTGACTATGATGCAGAGAGCGTTTCATCGGCTTCAGTTGAAGAATTTGTCGCATCCTCACCGCCGGATTCTTCAAACTTATCGTTATCATCTCCTCGGATACTAGCACCACCGTCTCCTCGGACATTAGCACCATCATTACAATTGCCAGAATCAAATTATTACGAAATGTCCGATGAAGTATCAGAAACACAAAAATCTGTGACAGGCTATGTCGATGATGTCAAGTTACCTGCTTGATCCTAACATCGGTTCAAACTGTGACAAACTAAAGTAAATTAACTGTATAATTTATTAAAACATGTAGAATAACATTAATTAAATTTATTAAACAAATATTGGTAATAATTATATTAATATATAAGAATGAAAGGAAAAAAAAGTCAAAGCAAATTAAGGATCGTAAATATGAACTGCAAATAATTTTTAAAGTTTTCTACGAAATCGTTATGAATATTATAAAAATAAAAATAACCTTTCAATTTGGTCAATTATTTAATATATTCTTGCTCAAATGATTGGAATTAGTGTGTGTAGTCAACTATCACTCGGCCAAGTTGATATTTAAAATCGTTAACCATGCCTATATACCTAATTGAATCGACTTGAATAGGTTGATTTTGTCGACGCCACTTGATGAGCTTTACAACTTTCATTATGAGTCCAAGAGTGATTTACATAGTACAAAAAAAAGTTTTAAATATAATCTTTCCACATTTACTAATTGAAGAATTTATATATAATTTATATATAAATCTTGTATAACATGCATCACATAGCTCTTCAGATGACTGGCAAATCATCTATTAAATAAGTAGTCAAGTTACAGATATAATACAGTATATTATAGAATCTTCAGGCAGATTATTTAAATAGGCAACCAAAATTGTATTTATAACTAAATATACTTTCATTAATTAAGAATGTAATATTTAAATATTTAATAAAAATTTGCCTTCACATGATATTGCAAAGATTAAAAAAAAAAAAAAAAAAAAGAGTAGCATATTAAGCAGATTAGAATCTATTAGTTACAGGTCTTTTTTAGAAATCAGTTGATTTAGATGTGGGTGGGTTAATCAACTAGTATATCAGATGTAATTCAAGCCAAAATTATCAAGTTTCAGCCAAAATTAAAAAAATTTTAGGTTAAATTATAAATTTATTAATAATTAATTATAAAATTTTAATTATTAATAACTTTTAATTTACTATACCAATTTAATAGATAATTCACAAGATATCTGAATAAAAATTTTTTTTATATATAAATTTTACTATAAGTGCAAATGTGCAGTGCTTATCTAAAACTTTTTTTATTAAGTAAATTACTCTTGAGCTTGTAACAAAAATTGTAAAGCTAGGAGTGTGACGACTTAGTGTAGTTGGTAAGTTGTTGCACCCCTAAATAGCAGATCAAAAGTTCAAATCTCACTGGTGACGAAATTTGAATTTAAAAAATGTGTTACGGTAAAATGTGTATAATCTGATGAATCGGCATCTGTAACTTTGATCACATCAGCTTATATTGAGAGGTTGTGAAATAGTAGTGCTACACAAAATGAGTAATATGCTATATAAATCTAGGGGATCAGGACATATGGAAGCCCACTTGGCAAGTTCTGAGTAGAGAGATAGTACAGACTTTTGATGATACTACGTAAAAGATCATCATCAGCAATCAAACACCAGTGGTAAACTGGATGAGGACTAGGTGTTTGGCAAATACTAATACCAACCAGGTTGCATATATACAAGAAAAAAAGATTCAATCAGAATACTAGAGGATGTCTACTAGTCTCTCTCAGGCCATCTGAATTGGGAGTTTGGAGCATAGTTGGTAATCAAAAATGACAGTGATTGTCTATAAAGTATATATTGGGGTTTGGGTGAACTTTGCAAGGGCAAGGAGTAAGTAACGGTAGCAGCTTTGGCTCATAAGTACTTGGCCTCGGCCTAGACATAAGTTACTAAAAAATTTAGATGATACATGTATGGAACATGGACAGCTCTAGTAGGTTTATCATGAGGATAAAGTAGTCTTAAGGGGCCATAGCGGCAGTTTCTCTTTGGGTAGTAGTACTTTCATTAATGTAACAAAGTCAGGAGTGGCTTTGTGGCTGCTCTGGCATTCATAATCAAAGTTAATAAATGTGCCAGACCCCCAAGTGGTTATCTTAACATTAAAAAAAAAATAAAAAATAAAATTGTAAAGCTCATTAAAATGCATCTAATAGTGAAAGTATATTAAAATTGATCTGGTGGTTTTTAAAAAATCTTTAAAAACTTCTTTTTTATATATAAAATTTCACTTTTACTAAAACGCACCTATGGTGTTTTACTACCTATGTTGTATTATCTCAAAAACTGGCTAATTAATTGATGTGAGGTGTTCTAAGTAAAAATTTTCTACGCCCCCAAAAACCCTTTCTATACCTTAATCCTAACCTTAATATTAACTTTAACGTGAAAAAATTGATGTTAAAAATTTTATATACAAAATTTATAAAAACTTAGAAAATTCTAAAAACATAATAAAAACATATAATAGGTGCAAAACCACCATAGGTGCATTTTATAATAATTGTAAAATTTTTTTAAAAAAATCGATTTTTTTTAAAGAAGTTTTTTTTAAAGATTTCTCAAGAACTACTAATCTAATTTTAATGTTCTTTTACTATTAAATGCATTTTGATAAGCTCTGAAACTTTTGTTACAAGCCTAAGAGTAATTTACTTAGTAAAAAAAAGTTTCAGATAGAGGCACTGCACATTTGCACTTATAGTAAAATTTATATATAAAAAAAATTTTTGTCCAGATATTTCACAATTTGTCTATTAATTGATAATCCATCATTCAATCAAAGAATTTTAATATAAGAATGTGATGGAGATCACATATGAATAAGACCCAAATTAAAATTTTCAGGTTATAAGCAAAGTTATAAAATTTTTGATTAAGAGTTATATAATTTAGCACATATGCATTGTAATGCACCTTCTGATCAACCAATTAAAATATAAGATCAGGTGTAATATTACACAATCAGAAAAATTCAAAACATGCGTTTGTTTTGCCAAAAATCGCCTATAACTCAAAATTTCGCATATACAACTACCTTTTGGGTCCTAACAAAAAAATTTCTTGCAAGATTTTACTATAAGCCTATCTTTTATAACTACCTTAACCTTACCTAACACTAACCCTAATCACATAAAAATCCTTTGTTTTGATTTCATATTATGCTTGATCTTATAGGGTGCATTACAACGCATATGCGCAAAATTATTAAATTCTTTGATTAATATGATATTAGAGTAACACAAATAATAGAGCGAAACTATAAGTTTTTTAATTATAAAAATATTAAACTTTGGCTTTTTTTTTTGACAAAGTTTATTTTGTAAGTACACAGTATTTACTATACTAAACTCTGTATTAATTAGATTTAAATTTTAAACCAAGATATTTAATAATACTTCATTTTTTGACTTACTTTATAACAAATTTATATATTTTTTTTAATTTTTAGGCTTTTGAAAACATATTACACTTAAAAATAATACTAAATAGGATTTGTAGAGTATTATCACCATAAATTATTATACGAAAAATTCTTATGATAGTAAATCTATCAGGTAATCTTAGCATAGTAAGAATCATAAAATTTTTAAACATTTTTTATCTAAACTATGCAAGCTTTTAATTTTTCTCTCTTAATAGATGATCTTAATTGCATAGTAAACTTAGAGCCAATTATATAGGTTTAAAATTGGTAAAAAGTGAGATCTGAGTTTCTATGTAGTGATTTATAGTACCTATGTTACATTATATAAATATGGAATCTTAAGATATACTAAATTTTTTATCAATATATTATTATATAAAAGTTTATATTACTCAAGCTTTATTGTTTCTCATTGTTTCTTTTTTTTATAATTATAGTTTTATATAACTAAAATTAAATAAACAAAAAATAAAAAACCGAAAACTATAGATTATAACTAATTAACTATACAAAACAACAACAGGAAGTGTATAGTGCACTTCTAGTGAACCCAATAGACTTAAAGAAACAGCAGATATCAAAATAACTAAAAGAACAAGAGACGAAAGCAACAACAACCTAACACACAAAATAATCTACAAGGTTACTCCACAACCAAAGGAGAAAACCAGAAAAATGGACTACCAACAACAGTCTACAAAGATACACATAGTAGATAGTACTAATACAACTAAAAACTACTATACCGACCATATCAATAGACATCCTAACAAAAAACAACGACAAGAAGGCTATTCTCACTCATTCCCATACTCAAAAAGTAGCAAATTTAGCTCACCTCTATCAAATTCAACCATGACATCATCCCACACATACAACAAAACAACCGTAAGAAAAAACAACAGTCATGTGTCTATATTCAGTTACAACAACAACTCGACACAACAAAACAACAACAACCCCCCAACAACCTATAATAGAAAATACAACATGCCTACAACCTATCAACAACCCATGGAACACAGCAGAAACCCAATTAGATAATCTATTAACTACCAATGTCTTTAGAATATATACTGCACCTCCTCCAACAACTGCACAGCCCCTCTATAGTCAAGTAGTACAACCTAAACAAAACTAATAGGAACCTGACAAAGCCACACTCTGGTTACAAGCTATACTAAAAATTCTACAACAAGCAACTGATACCCCTTTCAGTTATGAAATCTGGAATAACAACAAGATTTTAGAAGCACTTAAAAGTTTACAAGGCATAACCCAATATGCCCAATACAAAGTATCTGTCTTATCTACTAATCACGCAATTCCTCTAACTATCGAACTCAAATTCAAATATCGAGACACAGCCTTCTTCCGCACTTTCACCAAGTCAATCAAAACAAAATCAACACACCAAACGGAATATGAAAATCTTTTCACAAAAGCACTCAAAAAATATAAAGAAATGCATAACATACCCATTACTACTAAAGAAAACAGAGATCAAATTTATACAAAACTTAGACAAAAAGTGATAATCGATTATCTAAACAACTACAGCTTCATCACTAACTCACCTACAAAGATTAGTCATACAATTCAATACCACAGAAGATTTATTCAATATAAGGAAAAACTAGATACATCGGACATAAGAATATGCATTCATAAAGCAACTTCAGATCTACTACAATCTCTCTCAGCAACACCTAATGAGATACTAGAAAGTATT